AAAAAGGATTCTTAAGAGCACTCTTAATTCTCTGCCACTTAAACGTAAGTATTTCCTTTAAATACTCTTATCAGATAGAAATTTTATTTCTTCCTTGAATTCATTGTTTTGTCTTACTTTTGCTGATTTCTCCAACTGTCACCTCTAACTATCACCATGGGGAAAGGAATAAAAAAGTAGACCTTATTAAACACTACTGGCCTGCTGGGGAAGTGGTATCATACCACTAAAGATACAACAGGCAAAACAGCTATGATTTAGCTGCAGTGTGCACAGAAAGACTTTCAAATACTGCGAGGATTTACAATTCGATTTTAATAATTGGCACAAAAAGGTTTGGCCTGGTAATGACTATTAGGCAGCATTTTAGGAATCCCTGTTCCGAAGGTGTCATCTTGCAGACCTTAAACAGAATAGGTGTACTAGTTACTTATTACAATAGCTTATATGACATGTAATACGTAACAAGATTATTTAACTCTCCAGTAGTCAGTATTTTCCCACTATTTCTGTCACCCTTCCATGAAGGCTATTGAAAGACAGAATGGTAAAAGTTAGAAAAAACAGACTTCAACAACTGTCTCCACTCATTAAGAAAGGCAAGTTTTATACCAGTATCTTCTACTGGTATCTTTCCCTAACAGTTACTAGGGAAAAAGAAGGAGAAGGGTGTCCTAAATATGCTCTCTGGAACAGTCCATTAACTTTATTCTGCGCCACCACATTGCTTGTGTCCTGCATTACATGAAAATCTGGAGATTTAGGGAACAGAGGCGTAGGAAAATTTTTCAAGCCCAACATGTGCTCCTTCAAATGGCTCAGCATGAACCACAAAACTACCTTTATAAGGCTGTTTCTAAGACTGTTCATTCTTAAGGATCAATTTTCCATGTTGGGCACAAGGTCCACACATCCCTCATGATAGTGGGAAGCTTTCTGAAGAGGACAAGAAAATGGTATCAAAGAGTTCAGGCTGCTGCTTTTTCAAATACTCAGTCTGCGATCTAAGAACAGGAATGCAGTGAGAAGCCTGAGTTTCAACAGCTTCAGCTTTCTTCATCTATGACAGAAGTAGTACCACGACCTCATTGACGTAACTGAACAGTTGCAAGAGATGCTTCAAGGTACTCAGCAGAAAGGCTTACAAATTTATTTAAATAAATTTCAAGGGGAGAGTAAAATTGGACTTAACCAAACTTGCAGAATTAAAACCAAAACAATGACTGCAACCAAACATTTTTTTTTTTCTGGGATGGAATGGAGGGTCTCTTATCTCCAGTGACACAGCTCTCTGGACTGTGTGTTACTTATTTAGGTGGCTTACAATTCCACCCATAAGTAGTTCTTAACCAGTAAGTAACAGTAGTAGTAAATCTTATCAGCAGTGTGCTAAATATCAGAATCTAGCAGTGTATTAGTGCACAGTGAACTGGTCATAATTACTATCTCTGTACGTTAGCAAGGCTTCAAAGTCAACCAATCACTCCAAAATGTTCCTACAAACATCATAATACTTCCAGAAAAGCCATTTAGCCAGCACACATACTCCTTAAACTACTGCAATCCATGACTGTTTCTAGTACTAGAAATTTACAGCTAGCTACACTATGGATGCAGACCCCTTGATAACAGACGAAGAAAGCAAATGGCAGGTAGGTAATTATTTATGGTGACTCCCTTGCAAATATTATTTATAATAAAGTTCCCTCCACTTTAGAGCAAATTACTACACATGAACTGCAGCACTTCAGATTACATTAAGGCTAAATGTGAATTTAAAATAAATTATCTTTTTGTGTTAATTTAGCATTACAAAACTTGACAGTCCTCCAATTTTTACTGGAAATCTAAAAAATCAACTTGCAATCACTTGCAATCAACTTGCCACAAACAGAATTGCAGCTTAGTTTCCTTCTGGGAGAACCTGACCATGACAAAGCACATGAAGATGCCCCATCATCTACTGCTGTGGTTAAAAAAATCACAGTTCCTCCATTCGGCCTTGTCCTTCTCTATGCATACTAGTGTCTGTGTGCAACACCTTGACATACGTTTGCAGGTATCTCTGTTCTTCCGAAGAAGAATTTGTTCATAAAGGCTGGATTTTCTGGCTTTTCCCAGATCAGTGGCTAGAACTGAGTTGAGAAGATACCACCCAAAGCAGAACTCCAGCACAAGAACTCATGTTCCCTGCAGGCACAAGACTGAGATTCAGCACTCCTACATCAGTCACTTGTGTCAAAACTACTCAACAGAAAGTTGCGTTTCAAAACACGGTGTTGGTGTGAGGATACAGATCCCAGACTGGTTTCCTTCCTCTCCCTGCCACGGTTTCCTCAGCAGGACCCTAAGAGCTAGAGCATGACAGCCTGGTTGACCTGCACGTAGTGGACTCTTACAACAACCAAGCAAAGAGCCGGTTTGCGACTAGATTGATGCAGAAAGCAAACCTTCTGGTATGCAAAGGCTCAGGAAAACTTTTCCTAGAGTAAAGAAAGCAGCAAGAATCAATGCCAGTAGCAAGTTAACAAGATGATGTCTCAGAAAGCTGCACTTGTTACGAATTAGGTGCATATATTTCTAGACTTAACAACACACGGACATTACAAATTCTTCACTGCACACTCAGTGTGGCAGTGTTTTTTTAGAAACCTACATTTAGTTTGTCACACATGACCACTTTGTGCAGAAGTTGCTTCTGTCCCACCTCTGAGTTACCACCAGCCATTACACAGACAGATTTCACAGCACAAACAGCTGCAGGCCACTTCAATATGACCTCTTGTCTTCTATAACATGCTGCAACACCTAAAGTCTCCATAAATTCAGTTTTAGTTCATCAACACCTTCACAGTAGAGTTTCGCCATGTGCAGCAAGATTAACAAGTTTATACAAAACTTCAGATTCTGCAGTTTGTCACAGGAACACTTATCATACTGTATCAGGTACAGTGAATACTGATGCAGCCCCACAGCAACTGACTGTGGCATTAGAAAGAACAGTGAACATTTGCTGGATTGTTATGCAGTGTGAAAGCTTTCTGTTTAAAGCTTTTTCTACTGGTAAAGGTACAGCCAATTGTTAAAAAAGGCAAATCCCTGACAGATTTTACTGTCCACCTCTGCTGGAGATTGCATGGTGACTGTACACAAAACTGACCAGATGAAGCAACCAAAGAGTGACAAAAAAGTCTACAAACTCTTCAATGCTCATTCTCGGTTACAAGCAAAACTTCAAACAAAATACTTGGAAAATGTAAGTGGTTTTGTACAAATCAAGTATGTACACAATACTCCAATTTTTCTACTTCCTAAACATAGAAACCTACAGAATCAAGTAAGGAAAGAGCAAAATTATCCAGCAGCAGTTACAGCTGCACATAAGAATAAATGAAAATGTAACTCATCACTTTTTAACTTGCACTCCAGAAGCAGAAGGGCGCATAAAATGCAATCAAGAATTACTTATGTTACAAGTAGATGGTTTTAGTGGGGTTTTTCTTGCATATTAATTTCAGATACAGAGGAATTTTCTCCAAGAAGCTACTGGATTCAAATAGCCAAGACTTAGGTTATGGAAGCCAAGTCACTATTTTCAGCATAACTGGTAATTCAGACTACAGATGCACTAATTCATGCATCTGTACTTCAGACACCACTGAACAATACTACACAATAATCCGGACAGTATCATCAAGCTATGTAACGACTAGAAACCAGTTTCACTTTTAACAGCTGCAAACTGCAGAATGCCTCCGGGCCTAACTGGGAGATCACTCCTTTGTCAAAGAAGAGACACACACAGTCAATCAGACATCTAAATGGAAAAATAAAGGATGCCTCCTGACTTCAGTAATGACATAAACACAAACCAAGATAATGGAGAATTATGGTAGGGCCACCCTTTGATCTTGAATGGTGCACGATAGTCAATAGTGATTTATAACATACAGTGAAGAGTCCAAATTCTATGAGGTATTTACCTCTTGCAAGACCATGCAAGGCTCATGACAAAAATGCCATGACCGCCACCACTACCGACTCAGCCCTCTTGGTAATCAGGACGTACCATCCCCAAACACCTACACTTCTCAATTTATGTAAACCACTTCTGTTCTGGGAATTGCTCTCGAAGCCGTCACTGCCAGATGAGCTCAACCTGCAGTCACAGTGAAAGCTGTAAGAACCACGTACCAACCACACTGGCCTGTCTGGACACCTTGCGATACTGACAGATTTCACTACCTGTTCTACACTGGCGAGCAAACCAATTAGCTTTTCTAGTAATGACATCATCTGAACCAGTCATAGCACTTCCCTGCATCCACAGCAAGCAGGGGCAGAGCAGATGGGAGCTCCTCCCTCTGCCCAGGGAAGGATTGGACATGACTTCCCTCACCACAAACACTGCTCCTCCCCAAGATAGAAAAGATCTGATAACAATTCAAAGAAATGAAAGCGTTTTATGAATCAAACTATTGTGCTGTGGCATGTTAATAAGAAGGCACTTCACATCTAGGTCGAGACCTCGGTTCAAGCACATCCAAAATATACTGATGAGCAGCAAGCAAGATATGCACAGGAGCAAGCATCCACCAACAAAACTAGACAAAGGAAGGGACTGCAAAATCTCCAGAGCAGAGATCACACAGAGGGCAAAGAACAAAGAAGGATGTTTATTTGTCATCGGTTTGCACCTGGCATGCAAAACCAGATCAGAAGGGTGTAAGGGTAGCCTGCAAATAAAGCTACACAGGGATAATAATTTAAGGACTAGCGAACGGTGTGAGCAGGTATAGCAAGTATAGCAAATCATGGTAGTTTTGAAGGATGAAGAAAAATTCTAAAAACCACTACAGTTCCACTGACAAAAAGCTGATGTTTGCGGTTTGTTGTTTTTTTTCCTGCTGTTTTGTTTTCTTGGGTTTTGGTGATCTGCTTGCAGGTTTTTTTGGGTTTTTTGATTTTCTTTGGGTTTTTTTTTTGGCTTTTGGCGGGGGGGTATTGGGTGTTTTTTTAGTAGTGACACACAGACAACTTGCCTGCAGTTACTGAAAAGGAGCTACATTGATGCAAATCATATGAAGAGTCTGAAAAAGTTTTACTCAGAATCTGTCCTTTAGCATCTCACAGTGACGAAAGTTTTAGGCAGAAAATCAAAACCTAAAAGAAATGGACATGGAAAATGCTGCAGCAAACTGAAGAAAAAAGGCAGAATAAAATAAAGAAGCCATATTTAAGGATTTAGGAACAGTGCAGAGGTACAATGCGTACTGGTATATTTTAGAAGACAGTAACAACCAAGCCTAATGGCCGCAGCAGGCAAGCACTCCCAAGCCTTCTATTTGTTCAGACTGGTGCTCAGGCTATCCACTCATATCTCTGCTATAGATGAAGCGACCTCAAGCAGAGCTAATAAGGGAAAATAACCCCACCCCACTCCCCATTCTCAGATTTTGGTCACATCAGTGTCAGATTCTAGTAAGAAATACCAGCTAAATAGAGGCATTTATGAAGATAACCTGTCAGTCTACGGAAAACACATTTCTTTGGACAGCTCTGCTACCAGAATAGTAGCCTCTCACAGAGAGCTGGAGCAGCCAGCCCCGCAATTAACCTCTTCTCACTCATCAGGGCAACAGAGCTGGCACTCTCAGCACTTCTACCACTTAACAGATGGCAGTCAGAACATACAGCAGGCTACCAGAGAAGTTACCACATGAGATCTTTGAGAGGCTGGATGCAGAATGGCTCTTGCAGAAAGTTTGAATGGGAGACAGGTAACATGTGGTGGTTTCCAGCTTTAAACCTACCATGCTGAAAAGGGGGAGCTTATAATGCTGCCAGGTTATTGCTCATTATAGCCCTGTCCTTGGCTGGGAAGCGGGACTGCAGTGATCTCCTATATCCTATGGATCCCCCACTTCTCCTTGGACATTGCCAATTTATTCTGACCAGAAACAGTAAAGTAAGAACAAGTGCTGCACAGCTGCAGTTATCACTGTCCTGTCTCCTACCACAAGATCTTTACCTAGACCTATGCCCATTTTCAGATACAAGAACTGAAACAGCAGTGTCCACCCATGTGATCTTTAAGAATTTTTCAAGGATTCCTTAAAAAAAAACCTCACCTCATTACACATACAGTAAAGCTGAGCGTATCAAACCAGTGTATCTACCAGGCAGCATTACCTCTCTCACTAGTAAAAGTGTGTTAAGGGGTTGAGGGAGGGAAGTCTCTATCAGTTTCTCCAGTCCTGCAGCATTTTAGCAGATAGGTTGGTGCCTGCCACACAGTAAAAAAACCAGTTCTTTTTCACCCAGTTATTATGTAACAGGCAGTGCTACAGACTGTATGTTGTCTGGTTCAGAATGCCTTCAAAAAGTCTTTAAACCTGGTTAAGATCAAAATATATTTTTTTCATATGTTCATTAGTATTTCTAACAGCAGAAGGTATTGTTACAGGCAATCATTTCAACCACTGAAAAAGGCTCTGGTGACATGATTAAACAGTTATACAATGATTAATATGGCTTCTACCTAATTTGCATATGCATTAAGTAATGAAATAGCCTCGGAGCATCTCAGCTACAATAACACAATTACTACGCATTGTCATGTAATTTAATGCGTGTGCCAGGAATGACTACGCACTAAAAGAAAAAGCTCACACACTTGACTGCTACAGCTCAACCTTCTGAACAGATAGCACTCACGGATCCCCAATAGAAGAAAGAAAAACTGCGAGTCTATCCTGACCCTCTTGAATTTCAAAGCATCAAGTGTGTCCTTCAGAAGAAGCAAGAGATGTTTAACAGCTCCTGAGTGGCTTTAACAGATCTGAGCAATGGCTCATACACATAAACATGCCTATGCCCCTTGGCTCCTTGTACAATCCCCCATTTTCACCAGCTGGCACAGACACATTATCCCCATTTAAGTTGTGCCTCTGAATTCAAGCAGATCATTTGGCACAGTTTCCAAGGAGGGAGTGGGCCCCACTCTGCAGCTGGATCTGCTCAGGATGAGCCCTGCCATGCCCCAGCCGCAGCCAGCCCCTGCATCGGGGGGGCTTCTGGTGAGGTGATCATCACACTCTGACAGACACTTCCCACTTCACCATGCCACAGGGCTCAGCAGCGCTGCGATAGCGGCTATGCTCAAAATAGGCAGGTGTGGCAGAAGCAAGGTAGGCAGCAACACCGAGCAAGGGATCTAAAGCTTTCAAAAAGTTATTGAGGATTATGTCTAATCGGAGGAAATAGTTAATTTGCTTTACTCTTCTACTGGTAAAATCTTGACAAAGAAATAAATCACACCAAGTTTTTCCAACCAGAAAAACTTTTAACACTCTAGTGTTGACTTGTTCTGTATCTAGAGTATTGCAGAAAGTTTCTTCAGAAAAAAACAGATCAAGAAGCAAGATACACAGATTTCTACTAAAAAATAAATCTACTTTTCCATAATATTTCTGTGATTTATTCAAACAGAATACAATGGAATTGCCACCTTTATAGCTAACCCACCCCAAATGTAAGCCCTTTTCTGTATAGCACTGAACTGTCCCTATACTATGTAAAGAGCAAACACCACTGGTATGTACACAGTGAAAGAACAAAAAGTAAAGCTCTTCTTGCCCAAGTAATGGTTTTCTCTACTAACATGTTATCTAGAAAAATAAGGTCTAGGCAATGTCCAAAAGTGTTCAAGTTTCAACTATCAATGCCCCAAGGTTGCACTTGCACAAGAAAAATGGAGCGTACAGGTTAGAAAAGTATCTTCAAATGACTGAGTCAGCAATGCATTTCATTCTGCTAAAGATTTGACAACAAAAATCATTCCCCTCCAGGCTTTGATTTTAAAACCGAAGCCATGTAAGTGCAACAGCACCCACACAGTTGTCTTAACTCTCAATGGCAAATTAAAGCTCTAGAGAAAGACAGTATTTTTAAAAAAGTTCTTTATCAATACCAAGAAAATATACATAGCCGTATCATGTTTTAAATATATATATATATATACAAGCACATCTTCTCAAAAGGGTACGATTCTGGCTTCTTTTTTTCTTTTTCTTTTTTTTTTTTAAGTTTGAAAAGCTTATCCATTGCTATACAGTTCAGTAAAGGTGTATTAGGAAACACACTTTTTATATCCCCCATTAAAATAAAGTTGAATCTTTCTGTAAACAGGAATTTCCTTAATTTCCGAAATCTCTGCAGACCTCACGTACTTCACTGAAAGAGAACAGCCAACCACCTGTCCCAGAACCACCCACGAATACCCTCGCTCCCGAGAGCAACATCGACAGTCCTCATGAAACGCTTAGCAACAGCCGGCTCCTGCAAACGCCTTCTCCGGGCGCAAATAAATAGTAATAATTAATAACAATAATAATGACGACAACAACAACAGGAGAGCGGTGGCGGGCGAGCCCCGCGGAGCCCCCGCGCCGCCCCGGCGGCGGGCGAGGACGGTTCAGGGCCCGATCCCGGGTCCGGTGGGTGGTGGCGGCGGGGTCCCCCCCAGCGGGGTCCTCCCTTAGCAGGCGCTAGTCTCCGGCGGGGCGACTGCCTCGGGGGGCGCCTCCCGCTGGGCGGCGGCGGGTGGAGGATGGCCGGCGGCGTTTATGTGGCAGCCGGAGGAGAGGTGGCTGCGGACGCGGCCCTGCAGCTGGGTGACTTGGGCGCGGAGGAGGTTGGCGGTGGCGGCCAGCTCGGCGTTCTGCCCCTTAAGCGCCTTCACCTTCTCTTCCAGCCGGGCGATGCGCTCCAGCTTCCGCCGGCGGCACTTGGAGGCGGCGATGCGGTTCCGCAGCCGCTTGCGCTCCGCCTTCAGCCGCTCCTGGCTCTCCGCGTCCAGCGGCGACAGCGACGGCGGCGTCGGCGCGCTGCTGCCGCCCTCCACGCCCGCCGACGGCGGCACCTCGGGCACCGTCTGCGGCTCTTCCAGGGACCGCGCGGGCGGCAGCCGAGCGGTCCCCAGACCCGCCGAACCGAAGGCCAGGCCCGGCGGCCCCGGTGGCGGCCCCGGCGGCGGGGCGGAGGCGGCGGAGTAGGCGCTGCCCGAAGGGCTCAGCGGCCCCGCGGGGTTGAAGCCGCTCAAGTTGGTGTAGACGGCCGGCGGGTCGGCGGCGGCGGCTCCCGGGGGGCCCGGGCGGGAGGTGCAGCAGGGTCCCGGCGTGGAAAGCGGCGGCGGCGGCCCCGCCAGGAGCTGGTTTTGCTTGTGCAGGTCGGCCAGGGCCTTGACAAAACCGTCGGCGAAACCTTCCTGCTCCTGCGTCACCGGCTGCCGGTAGAGAAACGGCCCCGCTGCCCCGCTGCTGCTCGCGCCGGGCGCCGCCGGCCCCGGGCTGCCGGTGCCCAGCCCCGCGCCCCCCTGGATCAGCAGCTGCTCCAGGTCGGCGGCCGGCGGTAGTTTCAGCAACGGCAGCTCCGCAGCTGAGCCCAGAGCGGCTTCTGCGCCGCCGCGAGCCGCCGCCGCCCCGCCGCCGCCCGCCGGCTCCGCTCAGCCGGCGGGCGGCGGCGGGGCGGCGGCGGCGGCGGGCGGCGGCGGCGGTAACAAGCGCAGAGCCGCCGCGCTGCTGCGGCCGCCTGCGGGCGGGCGGAGAGCGAAGGGCCCCGGGAGCGGCGCGGGGGAGGCAGCAGCCAGGTCCCGCTTCTTCCCGGCACCTAGCAGCAGCTTCTGCCCCGCCGCCGCATCAGCCGCGGGGCCGGCGGCGGTACCGAAGCCCGGCAGAGGCACGAAGTCGGGTAGCAGCTCCAGTCCTTCCTCGGGGTAAAACGGCGCCTCCATCTTCACAGCGGATCGTCCGCTACGCCCGCCGCTCATCCTGCCGCCCTCGCCGGCCGGCGGCGGCGGCGGCGGCGGCTTCGGCGCGGGGCGGGCCGGGCTGAGCGCCTGCTCCGCGGAGCCGGCCGCCCTCGGCTGGCAGCGGGAACTGAGCCGCCTCTCGGCGCCGCCGGCCCCACGCCACGCCCCGGGCCCGCCGCCGTCCCGCCCCGCCACCGCCGGTCCCCCCTTCGCTCCTTCCCCCACCCGCCGGGCTTGCGCGAATGGGCTCCCCGCAGCAGCCCCGGCGTGGCCCCGGTGAGGAAAATGCGCTGCTCATCCCCGTTCTACTCCCTAAAAACTCGCCCCGCGGCTGCGGAGCGGGAGAGGAGGAGCTGCCGGGGGCGTCGCCCAGGATGAGGGGTTCCCCGTGGGCATTCCCCGGGGATGCTCCAGCCACGGCTCACTCGTCCGCGAGGGGAGCCCGGCGAGGCCCATGCGTGGGGGCTGCAGTGGGAAGGTGGTTTGTGCCCGTGGTGGACGGGCGCGGGGTGGTGGTGGTGCAGGTGTCGAGGATTCGTGCTTCCCGACAGCGCCGCTGGCAAGTCTGACTCACTGGGATGTGAGTGAAGAACGTTCGGCCGTCGGGAAACATGCCGACCTGCCCAAGAAAAGTCACTTTCAAGAAGGAGATGACAGCGCTGGTGTGGCTTTTCCTCTGGAAAAGAATAATAATAGTAAAAAAAAAAAATTAGAGAAAGGGTTTGAAACACCTTAGATGTCTTTTCCACATTATTGAACCGTGAAAGTAGTTTTTTTTTTTCAGTTTGGGGGTGGTATTTAGTTGTTACCTTCACTGGAGACAATTCCTTCTGCCCCTCTCCAAGTCTCCAAAATTCTTACAGGATGAGGAAATTGCTTTCCACCCACTCTATTAAAAATCCCTTCTGCTGGGGATACTAATGTGATCCTGACAGACCTGCCAAAAGCTCTCCTTTAAGCTGGATTGCTGACCGAGGGACTCAGTGGCTTCTTGCCAGTTCTTCCCGTAAGTGCTGGGATCCACCAGCATCCCCTCAGTTAAGCATCACCCTGCTGCAGTCTACTCATGCTTTCCCCCCAGACTTTTTCTCCCTGCGCATCAAGGGCAAGCTCTTCTTCTCACAGGATGTGTTGCTTTGCAGCTCACTGCTGAGTTCTGCTGTGGCGCCACTGGATTCATGGCCATGCTGTGCCTTTCCTGTGCCCAGGTTTGCTCCAAAACCCAAAGCAGGGGAGGAAGCAGAGATGCTGTCGTCAAGTCAGGAAGGACTTTGCCTCAGATGTGCCACTTCAGATCCACAGGAGAAATGAAGTCTAAGTGCACTGAGGCCTCGATGACCTTGACTCATCAACCTTGGGACCCCTAGCTGCACACCCTGCCCACAGGGCAGGAGCTCCATTTGAACTCAGTGCAGGCCCTTTAGTCCCTGCCCAGCTATGTCGCGAGTGTTCCAGCCCCATCTCCTGGGTGGACCTCGGACCTGTGTTTCCAGTTCTGTTCCTGGCATCATCCACCGCTGCTCCCGCCCGGGCTCCCTGGGGTGGACCTAGTACCTGGTTCACCATCTCGCCTCGTCTGGGTGTGTCGGTGTGCGCAACCAAGCCCTTCTCTGCCTGCCCTGCTCTGTGCTACAGGACTTTGCTCTGGCTGGTGAGGGCCAGGCGTGGCTGTGGCTGCTCCCAGCTTGCCTGCCTTCGCGGCAGACCCGGTCGGCTGCTCTCAAGGCTGTGGCAGATCGCTGCTCAAAAATCTGTGGGCAGCAGTACTCTAGTGAGAAGAAAGCCGCCAGGCAAAAGCCATTAACAGAGGCACTTGGGTGGTTAAAGGAGGAGTAGGCATGTCTTTTTTGGTGTGGAAGGTGGTGATAGAGCTTATTTTTCTTCGGCTGACCTAGCAGCAGCGGGGCAGAGCTAGCTGTACTCAGCCAGCACTGGATACTGAGAGCTGCGAATGCCAGCGGCTGCGTTGCTGCGGCTCCTCGATGTACGAGCTCTTCCTGCCGTATTCCTGGGCGAGCAAACGGCAGTGAATGGCATCTTCTCTGCAGCCGGGCACAGAGCGCTGTCCAGGCAGAGGCACTGCAGCCTCCCAGATAAGATCTGTACAGCTTCTCTTCTACCCCTTACAAAGCAAGTGAAGGGAGGGAAAACAGACTGAAGAGAAAATGAGGTCCAGAGAAAAGACTGGGGAGGTTCACTTGGCTGTGGGGTTATTGCCAGAGAAATTCTAGGTGTAGCGTGATATGTGATAGAGATGACACTTTATTCAGTGCTCCGACAGATCTGTTGGTCAGTTACATAGGATGGTTTAACTCACTGATCTAATGGAGAGCCCGAAGGTGAGCCTGCAGAACAGGAAAACACAGCAACTGCTTGAAATAAAATTATTTGTAATGCCAGATCGCTTTATTTACATTGCTATCTAATACACCTGCAAGCCGAGTTTCGGTGAGTGTAAGGGAGCAGCTTTACACCTCCTTCATGCAAGTGCCCGTTATGGCAATGTGGTCCCTCTGTCGTTATCCCCTCCCCCCACCCCCCACCCCCCACCCCCGCTCCCCCTTTTATTTATTTTGCTATCAGAGCCTGGAGACCTTCCGGGGTGGGCACAAGGACCCTGTGACAGCCCCGTGTGCCCGCCCTCAGTCCTGCCCGCCGGGTGGGGCGAGCAGCCCCGGACAGGCACCGGCGGAGGACCGCCCTCACGGCCTTTCCCCGCTGGAGGCCGGGCCGCAGCGCGGGCAGGACTCCCGCCGGCCTCTGCAGCGCCAGCTCCCCGCCGCGGCCGGCGAGTCTCTGCAGAGACACCAGCCGGGTCGCGCTCCGACGCCGCCTGGACACACGGGAGGTCGGGCGGGGCGGGGCCGGGCGGTGAGGGGCGGACCACTCAGCAGGAAGCAGCCGTTGGGCACAGCAGCCTCCGCTGCCCAGATGTGGTAGCTGGGGGCGGGTGACGTAGTAGGGCGGCCTTGCAGACGGCGTCCCGATTGGAGGATTCGCCAGGACGGCTCCGCCCCTTCAATCCTACTCGCCAATGGGCGGGCGCGGCGCGTGCCACCACCGCGAGAGTTGCCTTGAAGCCGGCGCCGCCATATTGGATTCGGGAGAGGCCGCGTCCCCTTCTCTGCCTCTCGGAGGGTCACGGGAGGGGGGGGTAGTGGTGGGAAGGCTGATGGGAGGATGCGCGTTCGGCGGTGAATTAACCGGTCCCGTGAGCCCGTCCCCCCGCCACTGCAAGGCGGCCGGCGCGGGGCAGGGAGGATGGTGCAGTCTTGTTCCGCCTACCGCTGCCGGAACCGATACGACAAAGAGAAGCCCATCTCCTTCCACAAGTGAGCGCGGGAGGCGGGCCAGGGCCGGGGTGCCATGGAGGCGGGGCCGCGGCCGTGCGCGCGCGCCCCCCTCCGGAGGGGTCCTGCGCCGGGGTCGGGGGGGGGCTGGGGCGAGTGGGGAGGGGGATGGAAGGGAAAGGCGGAGGGAAGGAGCAGGACGTGCTCTCGGCGTGTCAGTGCCGTGCGTGTCCGGCGCTGAGCGGGGAGCCACATCCGGCCCCGCGCCGCATGCCGGCTCCTGCCTGTGCGGGGAGGGAGGGAGAGCCCTTCGCCTGTCTCCACACCCGCTTCCCCCGCGTCTTTCAGCCCCAGCCCCATCCTGGGTTGGCGGGAGGGGTTCGGCTCCAAGGATGAGCCCGTCAGAGGGAAACCCAAGTGGTCGTGCGATCAGTCACGGCAGCGCACAGCTGTAATCCGACCCCCCGTGAGCAAGCTTCCCCGTAAAGCTGAAGGTGTTTCGTATTTGCAGGTTTCCTCTTACGAGACCTGATCTTTGCAAAAAATGGGAGGCTGCTGTTAAAAGGAAAAACTTCAAACCGACCAAGTACAGCAGCATTTGCTCAGAGCACTTCACTCCTGACTGCTTTAAAAGGGAATGCAACAACAAGCTTCTGAAAGAAAATGCCGTGCCCACGATATTTTGTTACACTGAAGCTAGCGAAAAGGTAAACCCGAAGCACTCGTATACAGACACCGGAATGCTGTGTGTTGTGCGTATTCAGGGCCCGAAGTGGCCGGGCAGCCAGGAGAAAGTGCGGGTTCTGAAAGGTGCCGGCAGAGCGGGTGCAGCTGGAGGCACGTGGAGGGCTGTGGTGGTTGGAACACATCCAGCCGCTGTTCTCATGTAGATGTAGGCTGTCTGAGGCTCTGGAGCACGTAGAGCCCCACACTAACTTCCAGTAGCTCTGATCTGCACTTCTGTGCCTATGCAGAAGCCTTGTGCTGAATTAAGTGGAATGGCAGCAGAGTAAGAGGGTACTGCCCTGTAGTTCGGTTGTTCGACTGTGTTTGTGGCATATTTGGAATTTTAGAGAGTCTTCGGTAATACTGGCGAGTTGTACTGTAGTCTTCCATGCTGACTGGTGGGTGGCTCCTTCCAACACTGAAGTGATGATAGGCATTAGATCTGAAACTTAACTGTCTTGTCTAAAGGGCTCTGTCCTCTGGCTTCATGGAGTTAAAGTGAGGTGCAAACAGAGGGGCAGAACAATAGCTGCACCTGCTATCTGTCTGTGCTGAAACCATCCCTGCCTTGCCTTAACAGTTACCTTGCGTTCACAAGCCAGGCTGGTCCCTGACTTCTGTCTCTCTACTTCTGGTGGCGGTCTTCTGTGAGGTGTTTCGCTGCTAAAGCAACTTGCAATAGATGCAACTCAGTTATGAGTTCTTGTTGATGTGATAGCTGCAAAGCAAGAACGGGAAATTTTGGTTCTTAGCTACTGTAAAGGACATAAAATATTAGATCTCTTGCCATTTTCCTGTAGGGGAAGTGGCAAAGAAGAGAATGATATGATAGGTCTAGGGGGTGGGAGACTAATGGGATGATGTGCGCACAGGGAAATAGGGACTTTTGCTTGTTTGATTTTTTTCTCATTATATACAATATTAGATTTGATGCAGAAAAAAAAAGGGAATGTATTTGAAATATGACTGATGATAGAGAAGAGAATATAATCAGAAGGTATTTAAGGAAAACCAGACAATTTCCAGGTAAATATGGCTGTGTTTTTGCTTGGTTATGCTTCCCTGTTATTGTGAGACAGACATTTTCTGT